TATAGCGTTTAATCGAAAAGTCTAGAGTAGCCTAGCGGCCTTTCTAATTCTATCCTCTATCCTATTTAATTCGTTATTTCTATTATTACTTAAACACTTACTATATTTAGACTACTAAATAAAGGAGGTATTATTATAGCCTAGCTAAGTAGTAATAGAGGAAGGAGTATATTCTTATAGTTACCTTAGTAGTTAATAATATCTATAGATTATATATAGTTTAGCTATATAATACTAATCTATATAAAAAGCGTAGTGTTATAGATATATTCGTTGCTAATCGATAACCGCCCTATATATAATATAGGCGGGCCGCCGAGGACTAATTAACTAAACTACCTATCTATACCGCCTACCTATACTTATCGGGGGGCGACCCCCCGATAAGCTAGATCACGTGACTAAAAGGAATACGTTTTTATATATAAAAATCTATCTACGTGATTATATAGGTAGTAGAACGGTAGACGGTAGATTAGTAGAAAGCGCTAAGACATTTCTACTATTCTACTATCTACCTATCTATATAGGAAGAACTTAGGGATATATAAGGACACTTATTTATATATCTAATTCGGTTCTTCGTCTTTAACTATATATTATTACTTATATTTACCTTTAGATAACTATTATAACTTCTTACTTAATTATAACTCGATAATACCTATTAATTAACTAATACCTCGGTATAGATTAATTAAGCGCTCTACCTAGTATCGTTCCTTAATACCCTTAAAAGGACCTAGCCCGTATAAGGCCTATTAGTAACGGTACGGTTAAGAGATAGATCGTTAACGTTAGAAGATTAGGGATCCCTCGTAAGTATAACCTATGATCGGCTAACCCTAACTATAACTAGTTTATAGTGTATAATATATAGTTTAACTTTATAAAGATAAGAGAATATAACGTTAAGTAATTATATATAACGGACTCACTATATACGCCACCACTTCTAACTTATTATATACCCGAGCTAATACTAATAAAGCACTATAGTTTATTCTATTCTAAACTTCTAAGACTTATCTTAAATCACTATACTTATTATCGTTAAAACTAAACTAAGACCTTATAACTTAACTATCTACTATTACTATAATAGGAGTTATAAATAGCTTACGAGATAGTATAATTATCGCTATCGAGTGGCTAACGTTAGATAATATAGCCTTAAGCTAGGCACTAGAAGAGCTCCTATAGAGTATATACGTACTATAGATACGTCTTATAGATAATAGTAAGTGCTTAGCGTTCTAATTCCTATTATAGTGCTATAAAGTCGCTTAATAAAAGCGAAATTTTTAGAAAGAGGATCGAAGTGGGAGAATAATATTCCCGGTAAAAATTAATATTTAATAATCAATTATTAAGATAGACCCTCGTATCTAGCTCTTTTCACTAAATTCTATAATTATCTAACTTTACTTCCTTCTTTATATAATAGTTAGCGTTTCTTCGTTCCTAACTCGTGGCTATCACGCGCCGAATCTTAATTAAAAGTCGGTTCTCCCTATAAAAGAGAGTGGTCGGTAGCTATAGTCTATAGTTTTAAAGCCTCGTCGCTATTATCGCTACTTTAGTCGCTTTCTAAGACTCGTTAGTAAAGAGGGGTAAAAGGTATAATTAAAAACTAACCTTATCTATCCTTTCTATCCTCGTGGCTAGGTATATCGTTATCTAAGTGAAGATAGTTTATAGATAGGTATTTGTAGGTAGGTGATTTAGTCGGTATTAGGATAGAGGTTAAACCAACGACCGTACCCTCGTCCGCGGGGGTAGATTCATTAATAAACATATCCTACTAGGACTCTAGTGTAGCTATATCGATATTAGTAGGCTCGTCCACTAGGAGATCACGGCTTTCGTAGAATAGTTTATCCCACTAGGACTCTAGCGTAATATTAGTGTCCGTATTAGAGTTAAGCTGCTTATCCTCGAAGTAGCTATAGTCCTCTTTATAGATCACGATAGGGTTAAATTTCGATCCCGGAGTATTATCGTCCTCAATTATAATAGGATGGTCTCCGTACGTAGGCCCGAGGGATCGGCTAGAACGACTATAGGCTAGTTAGGATACTCTATAGAGATTAACGATCTCACGTTAGCGTAGTTAATATAGTCATTTCTATATAGATCTCACCGAATACTTCGCGTGCGTTATTCGTAGAGGGTCCTATACTAACTAGAGTGGGGAAAGGAGTTTAAATTCTCGAATTCTTTACTCGCACGTCCTAGCTTTATACCTCTCTACTAATCGATTAGCGCGTTATTCGACCTAGAGGCGGTTTGACCGAATAAAGCCTCCCTACTAATCGTTTAGTAACCGTAAAGCCTACTCTCTATCTACTCTAATAACTATATTATGTTATTTTTATAGATTATATCTCTTTATACCGCTTATAGCCGCCGCTAGTAGTGCTACGCCTACTAATCGTTCCGTGGCCTAAGATAAAAGACGAAACGCGTAGGATTCTATTACTATAAGGTAACCCTATTTTTTATACGACGATCTCGTGTTATATAGTAATCTATCGCGAGGCGACGAGCATTCTAGCAAGGCGTCTTAATAGTAGGTCAGGCGTAGATATATAGCAACGACCGAGCGATAGTACGGGTGCAGATCGAGTCGCAGCTTTCGGACTTTAAAGGCCGCGCTAGTCTTAACGGACCGATCGTGGAACCTATAGGTACTAGTATCACGAACGAAAACGGGGCGGTCTAATCGAGTAGTGTATTTATTATTCGGTGTTCTAACCTCGAGGCAGATTTTAGGGACCCGCTACGTAAGGTGGTTTTCTAGACCTAACAATTTCGATCGGCATATAAGCACATCTAGGTCGGCGTAACGGGCTAAGGGCGAAAGGGTTAGTAATACTACGCCTACTAATCGTTCCGTGACCTAAGATAAAAGGACGAAATGCGTAGTATCCTACTACTATATCTCTTTATACCGCTTATAGCCGCTACTATTATCGCCGGCTTAGTAATGCTACGCCTACTAATCGTTCCGTGACCTAAGATAAAAGGACGAAATGCGTAGTATCCTACTACTACATCTCTTTATACCGCTTATAGCCGCTACTATTATCGCCGGCTTAGTAATGCTACGCCTACTAATCGTTCCGTGACCTAAGATAAAAAGACGAAATGCGTAGCATCCTACTACTATATCTATTTATACCGCTTGTGGCCGCTGCTATTATCGCCGGCTTAGTAATGCTACGCCTACCAATCTTTCTATAACCTAAGACGAAAGACGAAACGCGTAGGATTCTGTTGCTATAAGGCAACCCTATTTTTCATATAACGATCTCGTGTTATATACTAATCCATCGCGAGGCGACGAGCATTCCAGTAAGGCATCTTAATAGTAGATCAGGCGTAGGTATGTAGCAACGACCGAGCGATAGTACGGGTGTAGATCGAGTGCTAACTTTCGGACCTTAAAGACCGCGCTAGTCTTGACGGACCGATCGTAGAGCCTATAGGTGCGAGCATCATAGACGTAGGCGAATCTAATCGAGTAATGCATTTATTATTAGTGTTCTAACCTCGAGGCAGATTTTAGGGACCCGCTACGTAAGGCGATTTTCTAGACGTGACAATTTCGATCGGCATATAAGGTGAGCATATCTAGGTCGGCGCAACGGGCCAACGGCAAAATTACCTCAAATCAATCGTACTGATCGGAGCAACGGAAATAGGGAAGAGCGAGTGAAAGCAGCGCAAATTGCTTAACGGGTCTGACTAGTCGCGCCGAGAGCAACGCAAGTGGCGGAGCTCGGTGGTCCGGATGAATTGGAAAAATGCCTCACCAGATCAACCTTGGGAAGGAGGTAAGAAACGATAAACATACAGCGTGACAAGAACGCTTTTATAGAACCACGCACGGGAACGCACACGGACAAAGAGCGCTAAACCTAAGCGGTCAAAACTAAACCTAAGAAGGTAATTCGCAGTCCCCCTCCGATATGGTGTAGTGGCTAACATCGCCGTCTCTCACACGGCAGCCGGGGGTTCGATTCCCCCTATCGGAGTTTCCTTTTTCCTTTTTCCTTTTACTTCCAGTAACCACGCCCTTATTTACCCAAGACGCTATCTTTCCATAGAGTCAGGAGTCAATTGCTGTTGACGGTAAAACTGCCATGAAAATTTATCGCGTAGAATAGCCGCCGAGCCCAACACTCTCAAAATCTCGTTATCGCAGGCTTGTCAGTAAAAGGCTATACCATATCCGATGATCCTGCTAGTCTACCGCAAATAGATATATATCATCGCATCCTGTCCAAAGTGGCGAAACCTTGGAAGATCGGGGCCGCAGAATGGATTGATTGGTGACATAAGCTACAGTTGCTCTCACAAGGTTAGCTAGTGTTGTGGTGTTAAGAGAATCTCTAATGCGAAGCTGAGAGTTGTAGGAAAGTCTAGATGGTGGTCTGTCATTCGACGAAATGCGAATAGCATTGGGGAAAGGCCAAATAAACAAGCCCTATCGTTCCGACCTTACAGATTATGGAGCGAATATATAGTTTCTTTGGATAGCCTGGCCCTGTGCAACTTTTTGGCAACATCCGACGAGGATTCCAAATGTCAGTTGCTTTGAATGGCCGCGGAACTCGCTAGATGAACCCGAGATTGAAATAAAAACAGAGACATTCGTTTCTTCGGCTTAAATTTGACATCGGGATCAACCGTGAACAATCAACAGTAGATAGAGTCTACACGGAGATGGCAGAAGAATAGTACTCAGATCTTTACTTCATATCTACGAGATATTATCCGAATGACGACCAAAAAAGCCACGGAAGTGCATTTCTCTTTAACCAGGACACGCCCGCTTCACCAACATAGCCGATTCCCTGTGTCGAAGGAATGGACTGTTATATAAAGCTAATTCATGTGCGGACCATTTCTATCTTCACTCAACCTTCCATCCCATCAATCTGAAAAGCAAAAACCTAATAACACTTTATCCTTGACCGATTATCCAAACGACCATGAAGGCTTTCGTGACAATCTCCAGCGTTTTGGCAATCGTCGGCCCTTCAACTTGTCAGACTACATGCACTGCAGACAATGTCCTCAACTCACTGACTGCAGTCAAGCATTATGCAGACAAGATGCAATCCGTGACCGATGGTTCAAGTGGCAACATCAATCCTTCTGCGGTGAGCTTGAACCTATGTGTAAAACCACATTTTCTTCGTGAGGGCTCCGGCAAACTAACTACGCCTCTGGTCCAGCCCATCTTCAAAAACTTCGAAGGTCAAACTAAACATCTTAATGAGGATTTGCAGTGCACGTTTGACACGACCCCGAAAGAGCAGTCCGATATCTGCAGTGATTATGAAAAAGTTAGTTGACCTCTGACTTTCTATGTGGACCATACCCTAACATATTTTCTCTTTCTACACATTCAGTTCGCGACTTCACAGCTGAGTTACCTACACGTGGCTGGTGGCCGCAGTTTCTACGAGAAAAATGGACACGGAGATAATGCTGTCAAGATGCATGGGTACATTTTGCAGGCGCAGGACACCTTAGAGGTAATTCGCAAATCCATGATGCTCGGTTATGTCCTAACAAGAAATACAGAACTACACATCTCAAGTCAAAGCTGCAGCTGCTTCGTGTGCGGATCGCATTGACACAGCGTACACACCGCTGGGTACGCAGCTTCAAAAGCTGCTAGAGGCTTACCCCGGAACGGCTTAGTTGAAGAGAGGAGCTGCTATATCTACCCTAAGAGGGGGAAGAAACGAGTTTTGATTTTCGGTGAATTGCAGTTCCAGAATATCTCCATTAGTGTCAGATGTTGAAGTATCTGTTAATCTAGTCATATTCTTTGGACATCGATTCAAGGTCTTTACTTACTTTCATCTCACTATCAGCACGGTAGCCTGGAGATTTGGAATAGTACAGAGTAGCTCTACTCTGTAACCCGCGATTACAGGGCTCAAAAGACACCCAACGCTAAACTAAAAGAAAGAGAAAAGAACATAGAGTGAGTATACAAGGAGAGGAACAGAAATATATGCAGGGCATGGTAATAGACAGGAGGTATCATAAGAAAACAAATAGAAAGCGGGACTAGAAGAACAACCACTGCCCAAACCGTTGGGCTTTACCCCAAGCACCCGTCTTCATCTCCGTAACTAGGCCCTCAGGCCCATCCTCCTGAGAAGGATCATAACGATCCGTCCTCAAATCCATATTAGACTTCCTAACAAACCTAGTGTTCTTGACCAGCTTCCAAGCCAGGAACATGAAAATCATGATCGGAATCTCAATATAAAACGAGACAAAGTCGACCTTCTTGAAATGTGGACTGAAGCACTTCCACCCTTGAACAAGGACAAGAACAATATTAAGTCCAACGGCAAAGATCGGACCATACGGGTAAGTCCAATTCTTAAAAGGAAGGAGATGTTCAATGCCCTGAGCCCGGATCGCCGAGCGGAATCGCAGAGAGGCAAGACCGATACAAATCCACGAGAGCTGGTTCGAGACGCCGACAATATTCTGCAGCCAGGACCACAATTTCCCAGCACCGATATAGCTGGCCCCGAAACAGAGACCGCTGATCACGGATGTCGCGAGGACAGCCACCCACGGGACCTGGAAACGGTTGAGATGACCAAAGAATTTGGGCGCATATCCATCGACAGCGAGAGTGAATAGGAGACGAGATCCGGCAAAGAGGGCGTGGTTCGCAGCTGAGATGACGGAAGTCATGATTACGGCGTTGATAAAGCTGCCAGCAACTGCGGAACCGGCTTGCTGGAAGACGATTGTGAAAGGGCTGGTCTTTGTGTCGCCGTCTGAGAGGCCTGGGTAGTCATATGGTACATTCAGGCCGATTATGAGGATCGAGAGGAGGTAGAAGAGGAGAATACGCCAGAATACGTTGCGGACAACTTTCGGCATTGTTTTCGCGGGGCTCTTCGTCTCGCCGGCTGTGATGGCGATGGATTCGGTGCCGCCGCTTTTTAATTGTTAGAATAGGGTCATTGATCATAAGCAATGATAAGATGAGTTGACATACTATGCGAAGGAGGCTGTGACAAATACTGATGCAAAGCCGCCGATTCCACCGACGAAGGGGGCATCTCCTTTATTCCAGTTTTTGCCGCCGATGTATTTGTGGTCTGTATTTCCACCACAGTTCACAGCAATGCCGAGGATGATAAAGATCTAGAAAGTGAATTAGCTGGGCATGCGGCTTGTTTTATAAGGGATGACACTTACAACAATAGTGATGACTTTGAGTAAACTCAACCAGTATTCAACCTAGACAGGAACCGTCAGATCAGCTGCAACAAGTAGAAGCAATATAATATACACATACCTCGCCATAAACCCTCACAGATAAAACGTTCAATGCAATGACAACAACCAGGAAGATTAGACTAATTGCCCAACCTGGAAAATTATCGGTCCAATACTGCAATAAAAGCTGCAAAGCAATGATATCTGACGCAGTGGAGACGGCATCATTAAACCAATAGTTCCAAGTTAATGCGAATCCAAGCGCATCATCCACGAAGCGACTGTTAAACAAGTTAGTAATTATCCGGGTTTTCAAGATAGAGTAATACTCACCCAGCATAAGTACAGAAAGATCCAGCAACGGGGATAAACGCCGCCATTTCACCGAGACACAGCATAGTTACAAAGACAATACCACCACAGATAGCATATGCAATAAGTGTTGAAGCAGGCCCGCCCTTAGCGAGTGATGAGCCCGTTCCGAGGAACAGACCGGTGCCGATGGTACCGCCAATAGCAATCATCTGCACCTGACGCCCAGACAGGCGGCGAGCCAGCTTGTCTGCATTGACAAATGGGTTTGCTTGGACATCATCTGGACCCTTGGAGGGCTCTGTTGCCGGGTGTTTCTCGATGTCGGCCATGATGTGGATATGGATATGGATACGGAGGTATCCACTAAATTTGAGTTAGTACAATATCATAGATAGATATGAAAAAAGAAAGCTCAAACATCTAATGTCATCACTCACCTGTCCGGGTTGGTATGTATGTATGTACTGTATGTACTATGTTTCAGATGCTTCAACCCTAAGTCGCGTGACCCACACGTGGCAACCCACGTTTCTGGTAGCGATTATTTAGATCGATCTAACATCGACCGTGAATAGTCGAAATGAAAGATAAACATCAGGAAAGGAAAAAACGCAAAAGAAGACCAAGTTTTTGTTCATCGATGGCGTGATTGAAGCCATCGATGAGTCGGCGGGGCCTAACCGTTCGAATGCGACGTTGATGTGTCAAGGAAACCTCCGGCTCCACATGCCGATTTTGGATTTTATAGGTTTAAGGTGGTTTCCAAGGTTATAACCACATGTACGTTAATTAAGTGGCTTTTAGAGCTTATTTAGACATCTACGTTGGACATGTGCGTAAAAATGCTATATGCTATACATGCCTAAAATTATCGCTTTCATATTCACTATGCTTTTAAATCTCGGGATAGAGATTTTTCGGTTGGAAACATACGCCATATAAGAGCTCACAAACCCATGAAACTATGAAAATGTATATTAACCAAGCAATCCACTGGCCAAAGCCTCCAGATCTCCCAGAGTTTCGATAGGAGCCTGTCTCTTCTTGTTCTTGGGCTTGTCGTCGCTGTCCGGCTCGGCAAAAGAGACACGCTGCTTCTTGCTGGGTCGCCGCTCGTCGCGCTCCGAGGCAGAGTCTGAATCGGAGCTGGGGATCTCGAAAGGCACATGGGGGAGATGCGACAGACCGCCTTCTTCCTCCGACATCCCGGCCTGGGCCTCGGCACGCTCGCGAGCCTTGCGCTTCTCTTTCTTCTCGCGTCGCTTCTCGCGCATAACCTCCTTGTCCTCGATATCGGCCTGGCGCGTGCGCTCCGTCTCGGCCTCAAGGAACTTCTCGCGCTGGGTGTCCGCATCGCCACGAGCCTTGAACGTCTCTTCGTCTTCCATTTCGTACACCTCGTGGGCATTGCCATCCTCGTCGTAGACCAATTTCGTACCCCTGCCCTTGAACTTGAGAAGTTTCTTCTTCGACTTGAGCAGCTTCTCGCGTCGCTTCGAGTCGATGAGTAGTGGGTCCTGGCCGTCCAAGTGCACCATTTTGACGTCCTTGGTCTTTGGTTCGGCATCGGAATCTTCCGAGTCAGAAGAATCGCTCTTCCCGCCAAGTTCAGCGTCGCCTGCGGCGAACCGGCGCTTGACTGAGAGGAAGTCGGCATCCTCGTCGGCCTCGTCGTCCATGTCTGCACCGGCGTCCTTGGGCGCGTTGGTAGCCACCATCGTGCCATCGTCGTTGATGAGCTTCGAGTAGTGCTCCGCCAGCACGCCCTGGTTGCGTCGCTCGAACATACGGTCGTACCGTGTCCGCACCTCCTTCTCATCCTTCTTCTTCTCTGTCTCCGAGTCATCATCACCGGACATCTGTGCCATTCTCCAGGATTCGTTCTTGCGCTCCTTCGCATCGTCACCCTTGATGAATTTAATACGCGGAGCACCGGGAAGACCCAGACTGGCTGCATATTCTTCCAATGGAAGCTCCTTGATCTTAAAGGTCTCCTTGTCCTTTTGCACGTAAATCGACTTCACGTAGGAGATGAAAGCTTTCTGGCCCAGATATTTCAGCTCTGGATCTTTGAAACACATGTTCTGTAGCTGGTTCTTGACACTCTGCTGCTTGTTGGATTTGATGTTGATCTTCTCAATGGGTACTTTCTTGTGCTCAAGCTGCTTGAGGAATCCCTTCTCCTCACTAGGATCGAGGAAGAGCACAGCACGGCCAACACGCTCGTAACGGGCAGTCCGTCCGACACGATGAATGTAGGTATCGGCGTCTTCGGGACAGTCCAGTTGGATAACCCAATCGACAGCCGGGAAATCCAGACCACGCGCAACAACATCGGTGGCGAAAAGGACAGCGTGTTGAGCTTGAGAGAACTTTGTGGTGATATCTAGTCGTCCTCCTTGTTTCTGCCGCCCGTGCAAATGGAGCAAGGAAATACCAGGCTGCAATTGTCTTAGTGATTCGTATACGTATCGAACTTGCTTTCCCGATGACAAGAAGACCACTGTTTTAGATTTGAGGTTGCTGCGAATGAAACTCCAAAGAGTATCGAGTTTCTGCGGGAGTGGAGTAATGGTGTAGTGTTGTTGGAGAGTTGATGGAGTGGCGGAGGCGGCTGCTTCATGGACCGAGACATACTCGGGTTCCTGCAGACTCAAACGAGCCAAATCACCGACCTTCTTGGTCTGCGTGGCACTGAACAGCATAGTCTGGCGCTGTTTCGGGAGATGGTCGATGATAGCATCCACAGTCTTCTGGAAACCCATATCCATGATACGATCGGCTTCGTCCAGTACCAGCATCTGCAAGTTATTTGTCTCAAACATAGCCGTCTGATCCAAATGCTGCAGCATCCGACCGGGTGTGCAAATCAGGATGTTCATACGTCCCAGGCGATCTTGTTCCTCACGCAGACTCTTTCCGCCGATAATCAACCCAGCAGAGAAATTGTGGTATCTTCCGATCTTGCGAAGGACCTCAAAGATCTGAATCGCTAGTTCACGTGTGGGCGAAAGAACGAGTGCGCCGAGGCCATCCAACTCAGTCCACTTCTTGCGATAGAGATTCTCGAGAATGGGTACTAGAAATGCCAAAGTCTTTCCGCTACCGGTTTTGGCGGCACCGAGGATATC